ATATATATATATATATATGTATTTTTTTAAGGGATACAATTATTCAAATTTACTAAATTTGATTAATTAAATCAAATTTCTTGATTAAAATTATTTAAGACTTTTCTTTTAATGTTGTTTTTCCCATGATACCTTAATAAAAATCTTAGTATTTTCCTTGGAATATTAAGGACTGGCTGATGTGGGCAACTTATTGGAAGTCTTGAGTGCTTCTTATATGTCAAGAATTGATTTCCCAGCTTTCAGAGCTGTCTGCTGTGTGGTTCTTGAACTACATAGGGCTGAAACTGTGCATTTCACCTTCATATCTTTTGCTGGATATGACACAAAATAATAATTACAAGCCAGAAAGAAATGAGCTTTCCTACTGAAAGATGATACGCACAGAACCAGGGAGCCTTCCCCAGTACACCCCTCAAATGAATCTTTTCTTCCATCTGGCTGGATCCCTTCCGCCTCTATTGTCCACGGTCAGCCACTTCAGACCTTAAAAGCGTATTAATGCTCTGTTCTCTTTAATGTGCTCACCTTTCTTCCTTGAGAAAACAAGTGCTAATTAACAGAGTATTGCTTTTAGTCTGTAGGCACATTTGATTTAAGGCTTCTGGGAAATTTGACTTTCCCTGAAGGAAACAAAATAAAGGAAACTGAGGTACTGCTGAAATTTATTCTACTGCCAAACTTTCTGCCCTCTCAAAGAGTATGGTGAGGCAGAGTGGGTACCTTGGTCCGGATGACGTTTTTATCACTCTCAATGTCTGGCATGGTGTCAAAGTCGCTCTCCTCCACGGAGCTGTCTGTGTCTGACTGGCCTGGTGGCCCACGATCGGGGGAGGACATCTGCCTTCCAGGACTGGAGCTTGACTCATCTGAAACAGAGACAACTCATCTGCCTTCAGAAGCCATGGAGATCCTATGGAGCCCATTCCTCTCTGCAAAAAGCACCCTGCAGACTCATTCTAGCAAATACTGTGTTGATCCAAACAAACCCCTTATTCACAAGACCTGTTCTTTCTCTCTATTCCTTCTCAATGGACTTTTATTTTTCCTCTCCTCCTATTTTTATATTTAACTTGTCTATCTTCAGGACTGAACACATATTAGAATCTAAGAGCATCTGCTCTGTTAACTATTTGGATACAAAAATAATATTGTACTTATATTTCATGTTTCATATATTAAAATATGAACATAAATATATACACATACACATGCACACAGCTATGTATAGCATCTATTGCATATATGTGTGAGCTCACACATATCTAACAGCTATACATTTCTCATGGGTAAAGTATTTGTACACAGAAATCACCCACATGCCATATCTATGATTATATAATGAAAACAACATTCTCGGGAGGAAGAATCCTTCTGCTCCCATGAATGTTCCCCAGAGCAGATGGAGATTTGTGCAGCTTGATGAGCACATGAGCTGAGCTTACCTTCCGCTTTATTTCTTCTGTTCAGATGGTTTTTAAAAAATCCTGTTCTTACAGAACTAAAAATAAGTAGCCTGCACTGAGCCCACATGCTTCTCAAAGTTACAGAATGATAGGGCAGGAACACAGAATTCCAGTCCCTCTACACTGACATTTTAAGGAGCACCATTCATAGATCCACAGGCAATATGGAAGGGCAGGCAGCTCAATGTGCTTCTACTCTAACAAGACAGGTCTAGGATTCCATTCTTTTCAGGCCGCTTAAGGAACATTGGGGTTTGCCATGTGAACGACTGGGTGGCAGTCAGCAGGTTCAATTATGAAGTTAGCCAAAATGAAGGGTTGGTAGGCTACAGCCATGTTCACCTGCAGCACTGCCTCAGTCTTCTGATCGCCCCTTACTCCACTGAAACCTGAGAATGAAACAACTGGTCAATTGACATCAGGCTCCCTGGGACACATCTTTCATGCCCTAAACCCAGGCTGGATGAAAAAGTCCCTAGAGGGCCTTAGTATTAGATGGCAAACATTGAAGGAATTCTGCCCAAGTGCGGCTAGCAGATCCAAGAAACAGAACAACAGAACTGGAGAAAGTTAGAGCTGGGAGGAAGCTTCCAAACCTCCAACCAACTCGTCTTACAAATAAAAGACAATCTCATAGGATAACTGCTTTGCCCACATTCCCAGTTATTAGTGGCTGGAATGCCTTTCTACCATATTCTCTGGAGAATTAGGAAACACTTTCATGAACAGACCTGGCAGGACATACCTATTGTTCCATAATTGCTCCCTTCGGGTGTGCTGGCAGCAATGG